GCGTCGGCGGTATTTTTTCTCTGAGCGACGCGAGTAATATGCGGCCGCGAGGGACGATTAGCTGCCGAGGGAGTTTTTGCCACGGAGAGAAGGTTTCGCGAGCGCCCAACAAGACTGCGAAGGAGGCTAGCGAACTACAACGTTTCCCCCGCATATCACACGACGCGACCTCCCCGCACGCCCGGCTTGGGGACCCCCATTTCAGCACCAAGGACAGTACCTGGCGGACAGTCACGCGGGCAGGTGACGCCGGTTCAAAACAGTATTGTGTAGACTGTTTTTCTTGTTCTTGCGCTATTTTCATTTGATTAAATCAACATAATAACTACAAAATCATAATCATGGTAGTATTAGATTTTTTTAATGTGCAGCGGTGCTTTATCTGGTTTCTCCCCACATTGAAATAGGGATCATAAATAAGGATATTGTTACAATGAAATTGTTACTTCTAAAACCTTCTTATACCTTACTAACACTCAACAGTAGTCATCATGGTAGTGGCTTCACTGATGTGCATTGGATATTTACATTTTACAGTTTATTTATGCTAATCTTTTTAATGTTTCTATTCTAGCCACACGTCTGAACACACACACACCCCTCAAGTTCGCCCCTCCACATTTGGTTACTTTAAATCGGTAACACTCCCCTTAGTAGTCTCCTAGTCTTTCCGTATAGGTCCGTCTAACGACAGCACACTGATATACTTGGTGCTATCTAGCTGCTGCTTTTGTATATGCATGTTCACAGCGATGAAGTTTCATTCCATTTTCGTCCCACGATTTTCCTACCTATTCAAGTTAGCAGTTGTTCTCTAACGTAAATGATATTTCACATACAATCAACCACAACTATTACACCAACCATTTTCAAATGAGAGCGTTTATTGCGAACATACGTGAAGTAATATAAAAGCACATTGTAGTAAAAGTCCATCGTACATCGGTAGAACCAGTACCAAGTAGGTATATGCCGTATTGTGTACTACAGCACAGCATATAGTTTTACAAGCCAAAAACTTGGCTTAGTCCCGACCACTCATCTGACAATAGTGCATGATATACGTGATTTGTATGAGAAATTAAAAAGAAAGAACAGATGAGGGGTGGATGGATGGATGGATGGATGGATGGATGGATGGAAGAGTGAATGAATGAATGAATGAATGGATGGATGGATGGATGGATGGAAGAGT